AAGTATTATCGGCAAATCTTGGGTGGGGGTGAATGTTTTATTTTTTAATAATTTACCTGGGACTCGTTTTCACTTTTTTAAAAATTGGGACTATGGTTATAATTAATGCTTTATTTTTTTTTTATTTTATTTAACTAGGAGGGTATATTCATCATTTCGCAACGTTTTGTTGAGAAATTGGATGAAAATGGATGGAAATGATGTTTTGCGCAATTAAAAGTGTAATTGAGGGTGAAAATGTCAAAAATGAAAATTATGGACGTTTTTCACAATAACAGTGAAAGGTAGGGACTTATTTTGCTCTTTTATCCTTCTAAAGTTGATCCAGCAGTATTTACTTCTATCCTCTTCTTTGTTGATTTTTTTTAATAATAAATCTTAACAAAATACTCATTCTTGTTCATCACACATGCACGACGTAAAAACAATATTCATTTAGAGTTTTTCAGCAAAATAAAATTTTTGGACATGTTATTAAGTATTTCATTTCTTAATATAGCACTAGTTTATTTTTAGAAATATAATTTTAAAAAAAATTACAAAATTATTTCCTTGCACGCACATGCACGATTCAAGCACATGACGATGCACCTGCCATTTTACAACGGGTAAAATGGTCCAACTAAAAACCATCATAGAATCAAGCCAACCAACTTTTTAAGTTGTACCATCCCTATGTACCAACCATATAGCTCTTTTGGGTGTCAAGAATAAACATAAAATGAAGCACTCTTCAATATTCTACCTGGCCCGATCTCAATTGTCGTCCAAAGGTTCATCATTCAATCTTTTTACCAGTCTGTTGATGCATTGTAAGAGTTTTAAGTTTCACAATCCTAACCGTTATTATATACTAGAATATCTGGGGCCCATATCACTAAAATAGATTACTCTTTTATTTTGTTAGAAGATGAAGTCTTTTAATCCTGAGGCTGCTTTCTCAGGTTGATTACGGAGATCCTATATGATGTGACAATTGTCTGCGATCTTTTCACTGTGATGATTATACCTTGTCTTTTTATAGAATTATTACTTGTTCTCTATCCTTTCTTAAACCTTGCAAAAAGTTCAATAGGATGTTGCATCCTAATGTATTGATTTTGTATTTGCAGCCTTGCTCCTTCTAAATTAGGAGTATTTATTTACTAGTTCGGAAATCAATAATTAAATTAAGATATTTTTTTTTTGTTTTGACCTTATTTCTTATGTTAATCTTGGCATCTAAATGTGCTTTGAATTTTTGTTTTTCACTTAAGTTAGGTGCCATATTTTTTACGGCATTCATGTTGCCACAATTTTTTTATTAATCTACTTTCTTATTTTTATTTGATTATGGATAATATATGGGTACCACAGCATCCTAGTAGGACATAGACCTGGCTTCCAGTCTCCTTGGGCTTAAGGGTGAAATTCAAAAAAAAAAAAAACGTATCTTATAGTCCTCTTTTCCGCTGCCTTACTCTTCATGCTTGGTTCCTCTTACAGATTGTGTTTCTCGTCCAAGAATATTCCAGACAGTTGGTATTGTAAATACTGCGAGAATATGATCTGGAAGGAAATGTCTGCGCAGCTCAATACTAATCCCATTGCTGTTGGGAGAGTTCCATGACTCAATGCTCTCGAACAAATAACCCAGAGGTGCATATATATTGTTCGGAGGGTGACGCGCTGTTGGATGTGCTGTTAGCGGGTTGAGTTTTTGCTCCAGTCTTTTTATCTAACAGAATTTGTCGAACATTTAATAAATTGTACAAATAACTGTTGGGAAAAAAAAAAAAAAAAAAAAAAATCCCAACTTACCTTCTTTTCCAGCCAAACTAGGAATTAACTACAAGCAAGAAAGTGAAATATGTACCATGCTAAAGCTTAAATTGATGCTTCTTTCTTCTCTGGTTTCTCTCTTTATTTCTTTCTCATTTTGAATTATTTCCTCCTTCCTCATTTGGTCTCAATATTTTGAAAGGTTCGTTTCTCTGTCTCCACCATACAACCTTTATGTCTCTTCAAATTAAAGCTCAAATGAATTGGGATGAAAAAGTAGAATTAATATAAAAAGGT